TATTATACGTTTTTTCTAGAAAATCGTACCATAGCATCAATAAAATATGTGAAATGTGAAAAAATTTAGACATCATTAGCTATACATATACGGACGACTGTTTTAAACAACAGTTACAGCTATAACTAACTGCAATAGTACTTTTGATTTCAAGGTTACAGTTGTTCCGATAATAGATTCATTAAACATTGAACCCCATTATGTATTACTGATCGCGTCCCATACTGTTATTCCGAAGGATATTTTCGTATTAAAAGTATACTTGAAAAGCTTATACCTGCACGGTGTTTGGTCCCAAAATGAGAGTTCAAAACGAAATATATATAAATTCTTTCTCTTGTCCCGTTTCCTCTGAGCATTCTTTGACATTCGTTTTTCTTTTATTTCAAGACCGTATATCATCCATCACTCAACCCTATCGATTCATTCAAAAACGTCAGCAGATCTTTCCGGGGGAAGTATAGGGTGAGTCAAAAAAACCGAAACCCAAATGTTGGGACCATTGTTTTAGTGAAGTTCTGCATGTAGCACTTTCAAAATCAAGGATATGAAAGCCCATGTTTAAAGTACAAGAATCATTCGAATTTCTCATGTACTTTTCAAGTTACGGAATTTTAAACACAACCACCGTTTTAAGGTTCTGTCCACGGTTCACAAAAACAGTTCAGTGTTCTTTCAGCAAAACAAAAACAAATCACATAGGGATGTGTGTAAATTGTTTTCGTTTTTCTGAAAGAACGCACACTTTTTTTGTGATCCGTGGTCAAAACTTTAAAACGGTGGTTGTGTTTAAAATTCTGTAACTTACAAAGTACATGAGTGATTTGAATGATTCCTAACTAAAAGAAAGCTTTTGAATTGGGCTTTAATGTCCTAGATTTTGAAAGTGCTACATGCATAAATTCAATGAAACAATAGTTCCGACATTTGAATTTCGTTTTTTTTTACTCACCCTGTATAGCGAATAACCCCATGCGGATAAACTGTATGTTCCCAAACACTTTTGAACTGATACCTCAAATGCTGATCCATTCCTCACAGTTCACCACGTGCACGTACAATTCTGGTCCGATATGTATTTTGCATTCACACGATCAACTGTTCATGCATGTCTCCTATTCTCGCGCTTACCTTCTAAAGCCACACTCGTCACAGAGGTGCAATGATGATGACAAGCACAGCAAATAACAGCACAAAAAGACTGAGGCATCCTTATCAAGGAAACAAAACATCACATCAACCAACCAACCAACTGACAGCCAACCAACCAACCAACTGACAACATTGCTGTCTCTCAAACTTACAATTTGTTTTTAGCTTTTTATGATAAATTTTTCCCTTTTACATACAAGTGCCCTTTTTAAACACATTATTTATTACACATGCCATTCTTTTGAATATGCTTCGGATGCAAAGTGTAACGCACTAATGTTTCACCAGACATTTCTCCAACTGACGTCTATCTTAACTCTCCATCGACACTTTATCACACACTGGATATCCCACTCAATTTTATTTTACCTCTAAATACGACGACTTCTACCATCCCAGTTTGACATTTGACCTTTGCTGTATTGTTTTGTTATTTACCAGACGAGGATGTTGTCTGAATCAAAGTACCTCCAGCATCTGTATACTATAATTACCCAGGGATAGAAGAAAAAAAAAGTTGTTATTTTTTTCGGATCTTAATTACCATTGGTTAAACTCTAAGAAGTAATATCTAATTGGGAGAACATCGGAGTGGGGGACGGCGACAAGTTTCCCCCACAGTATTTTGCAAATGTTTCCACCGTTGCAAGACTGTGGTAGATTTGACAACGGGTATTTTACAGCGAAGAATATTTGTAGGCGCCACCTCCAAACCCTGTAGGAACGTCATCCGAATGTGTTCTTTCAAAATACAATATTTTACGGACGCAACAAATGCGTGGTACTTTTTAGTCCATTTTGCACCGACTCCAAACTATAAACATCAATATTTTACCTCGCCAAAACGTTGGTCTTAACTCCACCTGTTTACTTTTGCAATGTTCATTACAATTACCCACATGTGCTAGATTGATATCACTGTACACAGACACACACACCCAAGCATACATGACACATTCAAAAAGAGTTATCTGGAAGATGTCTTCAAGAGTAAAGCATCTTTGAATCACTCAACAAAAATGAGACTCGTGCTATGTGCACATTTGGTTCTGATATTCGAACTGGAACTAAGGATTTCCCTTTTGAGTCCGGCAGCTAAGGACATGACAGACTTGTCGCAAGCTCCTCTTCTTGACTTATAAAAACAGTTACCTTGATTCATATCTCGGTACAAGGAGAAGAACTTGAATCATTGGAGCCAATCCCGACATGGTGCTGGACTCTCATAAATGACTCTCATTTCAGAATTACGCTACAGAATCGCACCGAATCAATATTATACTTAGAAATTGAACAGTGAACATGAAAAGCTCGACGCTTGAAAAAGCTAGATAAAATTCAAGTTGTTGTCGATTGGAACGAAATACAGAGCGAGTTGAATTCAAAATACGATGATGATACTCAGTGCAATGTCTGGCACTATCGACTATTTGGGACCACTGTAGTCATAATTTGAATGCTTTGGGTTCGATTGGCGCGACTCTGAAACATGTACAACTTTGCCTCTAGTATGGATAGGTCCGTGATACGCTACGTAGTACTCTCCTATCCTATGGGCTTAAACGTCTCGCATATAGTTTAGATTATTAAGGCGCTCAGTCTGCTAACCATTTTTTCCCCTAGATATACCGAGATCTTACCACTCCTGGGGACAGATCTCTTTCCGTGCAGCTGTCCCACGTCTGAGGAATAGAGTCTCCCATTAACATCCGTTCTAGCACATCTCCCAGCTCATTGAAAACGACTCTCTGAACACACAACTGTTATCTAAATCACCACGGCATAATTTCTCTTTCTTGTCAGAATGTAAAATTATGTACCGTTTTTAGTTTGTTTTCTTGTTTCTTAATGTTTCTGTTTTTAGTTGGATGTATGCGCATAATCGGTGTTCATTAGTATTTGTATTATCACTTGTATTTGTATTATTACTCAATAGTTTCCCATTGTCGTACTTGCTAAGAACACACTCTCGCAATCTAACAGCCTGTCTAATGCTCCTCTGTGTTACATTACCATAGTTTTCCCACCTAGATGACACAAATCAATGCTCAGCCATGTCTTGCAGCAATGCTAGAATGTGAAGTATTTGCTTTATATGTACATTAGAATCAGAAGTGTATTCCAGCTTATCGCATTCATTGGGTTGTTGGGACAAATTCAGGGAGCATAATGTCTGATGATTATTATGCTTCCACAGACGGCTTTTTCGAAGTTTTGACCCACATTTAAGCATGGCGCCAATCATAATGCTAATACGACCTGCGATGAATGATACGATAACGCGGTACCCGCTGCTATGTACATCAGATTCTATGTACATCAGTGGTAAGACGTCTGCACTAGAAAGCACGAGGTCGTGGGTTCGAGTCCCACCGAGTGATATTTTTTCCAACTTTCACTCGGGAGGTAACACACTGAGTATACAGTCTTTACGCGTCGGTGAAGGGCAAAACCTATAGTTTAGTCGGAAAAGGGGGGTATCGTGCACCCTCGGAAATCAATTTCTAATCGACGTGTCTAGGTCAGAAAAAATGCGTAGAAAACGATTTGCTATGTTGAAAAATTCAAAAAATGTCCCACGTATTGTTTTTATGCAAATAAGTGCCGCCATTACCGAAAAATCTATTTTTAACTATATCTCAGCCAATATTGCAGATAACTGAACGAACTAGGTGTCTAAACCCATGTTTTCAAGGTCAGAGATCACAATAAAACTATTTTGGAAGTCACCACATGTGTCTGTGGCATAGGAATATGCAAATTAGTGCCGCTAATACCGGAACATCATGTTTTTGGCATATCTCGGCCAATATAGCACATAATTACACCAGTAAGGTGTCTAAACCCATGTTTTGATGGTCAAGTATCATTAGAAGACCATTCACGAAGTAACTATGTGTGTCTTTGGCATGAAAATATGAAAAATATTAAGTGTCGGTTTATCAGATATTTGATTTTTAGCCAATATCTCGGCCAATATATTGCACTTAACTACACAAGTAAGGTGTCTAAACCCATGTTTTGAGGGTCAGGTATCATTAGAAGACCATTTACGAAGTAACTATGTGTGTCTTTCGGCATGAAAATATGTAAATTCTAATTTGCCGGTTTATCAAAAAATTGATTTTCAGCCAATATTATATTCAATTTCAGCCAATAGTACAGTTTATTTTAAATATGATGGCTTAAAATAAACTTTGATCATTGTTGCTTATCAAAAACCCTTCTGTCAACAGTAGCTGCAAAATTGGCCGAAATACTTTTTTTTTTGGCTAAAAATCAAATTTCCGATAAATCGACACTTTAGAATTTACAAATTTACCTGCCAAGGACACATATAGTTACTTCGTGAATGGTCTTCTAATGATACCTGACCCTCAAAACATGGGTTTAGACACCTTACTTGTGCAGTTATGTGCAATATTGGCCGAGATATTGGCTAAAAATCAAATATCTGATAAACCGACACCTTATAATTTACATATTTTCATGCCTAAGACACGCATAGTTACTTCGTGAATGATCCTCTAATGATACTTGACCCTCAAAACATGGGTTTAGACACCTTACTGGTGTAGTTATGTGCTATATTGGCCGAGATATGCCAAAAACATGACTTTCCGGTATTTGCGGCACTAATTTGCATATTCCTATGCCACAAACACATGTGGTGACTTCCAAAATAGTTTTATTGTGATTTCTGACCTTGAAAACATGGGCTTAGACATCTAGTTCGTTCAGTTATCTGCAATATTGGCTGAGATATAATTAAAAATAGATTTTTCGGTAATGGCGGCACCAATTTGCATAAAAACAATACGTGGGACTTTTTGGAATTTTTTAACATAGCAAATCGTTTTCTACGCATTTTGCCTGGACCGGACGCCTCGTCACGGGTGAGCGAGAGGGACTGGACATCCCGAAGGACTTGTCAGGCCCCGTGGATCGCTGATAGGTCCCCATGCGGAAATTAGAGGTAGGCCATGAAGACCGTGTCTTCATGCTGCTATGGCGCATCACGTGGTGGAACGTACGCGGAAACTTCATCTGCATGACGCACTTGCGGAAGTTGGCGTTGAAGACAATGTACACAAGTGTGTTGAATATGCTGTTGCTCATAGCCAATGCCTCCACGACGTAGAAGAGAGTGTGGTAAAGCGCAAAGTTCTCTGACATCGACGCGGGGATGACTACGTCACGGGTGATGGCGAATCCATGGTAGGGGGCCCAGCAGAGTGCAAACAGCGCCACCACAATGATAAGCATACGGATCGTCCTCCGTTTGGAGTTCTCAGCCACTTGTTCCTGCTCCTCCGTGTTATGACCACCGGGAATCTCCCGGAACCACAGCGTCTTGGCAATCAGGTAGTACGCCACGCACATAGCGACCAGCGGAACCAGAAATTCCGCACACACCATTAGCAGAGTGTACGCCTTCATAGCGTAGCCGTTCTTCCAGTTCTCGGCGCACTGAACGATGACCGTGCCGTCGAGTAGCCGCACCGTGTACAATTCGCTGTGGACGGCAACCGGAACCGTGACTGTGGTGGAGACTAGCCAGATGATGACCAATAGGATAGATGTGGTGCCTCTGGTCATCCTTGGCTTCAGTGGATACGTGATGACGATGTATCTAAGTCAATTAAAATGAAAACAAAAATAATCAATATAACCACTGTAATGTGCTCAAAAACAACAATTTGGCTATTAATTTAAGCTTTCAACCTCGAGACAAACGTGGACCCTGGCAGGGTAACTTGCCTCCTCTTTTCCCTGAATCGAATTTTGAGATTTTTCGACGTGTATCACGTGACGCTCACTGTGAATTACTAGGTCCAATCCTCCTCATAAATGTTAACCCATTTCCAATACGATCATCACTTATTCTTTCATTTATTTGCTTATTATCCTATTGAGCGTAATATTTTGAAATGATCATGTTTTCGGATCTGGCATGGCAACGAAGTGCTTCAGTCTGTACCCGGACCCTTAGGCAAAATTTGACAAACTGCTAGCTCATTGTAAATTCATCCGACTTCCTCAACTAATTATGCCCACAATTTTGACATGCAAATGATCCAGAACGCAATTCTGTGACCATACAGTCACTGCCCATAACTCGCATGTGTCAATCGGTGACGAATGTTTCCCGGAATTAACTTCCCTTTAAACAATTCTTCCGGGCTCTGAATCAGAAGAAAAGGGTCAACTTATTTCATCCATCAGTAGGATTTGATTAGATACATTTTTTTTTGGGGGGGGGGGGGCAGGGGGAATCAATGATTCAATGAATCAAAATTGTGAGGACTCGAACCTATACAACCTGCAGCAAAGTGACCACCGACCTAGCGCAGCAGGACACAGTGCCGCATCGCTTTTCGCTGCGAGTCTCAGCAACGTTCGAGTAGCTTGCACGTGTAAATAAACATTAAACGAGAGCGTTCGATTAGCCATCACATTATACTCATGTCTGCGCCGGTGTCAATCACCAGTGCCCCACTTCGCAAGCGGGTACCGGGTGGATGCCCCAGGGGTATTGACTTAGCCGGACGAGTTCTTGGCTCGATTGAAGATGGCGGAAACTTGAATTAATGCAATTAAGAGAGTATTTTAAAACTCATACGTAATACAATTTTAGTTAGCATGACCACTTGGACAGACAAGTTTTGGATAATCCCTAGAATATCTTGAGATTCAAGCAATTATTGATAAAAATATTTTAAATTTATCATCTGACCGGACGACAGCATTTGGTGTGTTTACATTGTATAGTCCGAACTGGTAGTCAATAAAGTGTTTTGCTATACCTATGTCTTGAATACCGTATTTTCATTGGCCTAGAACGATCATGTGTTGAGTATATATAAAAAGTTATGGCACACTCCTTCTTGGATATAACGTACCGCAGGGAGTGTGCTATGACTTTGAGCGTAAAAGTCATAGCACACATAGCTGAACATCACATCCGCTGAGTGCTGAATACTTCTCCAAAGCTATGTCCTCATGATTCACTCCCCACTGAATAGCCTGTAATCAACAGAAGTAATTATAGAATAACAGTGTGAGGAATCGTTCTAAACTGTCAGATGACTGGGTTAAGGGCTACAGCGGCGTAGCCAAAAATCCTAACAGTGTTTCTTCCCAAAAAAGTGTAATTAACTGTGAAAAAAGGGGGAGGCTTAAATCAGAGCTAATGTCATGATTTTCCCCTGCTGGCCCTCCCACTGAAAGCTAGCCCCCCACCCCCCACCTGTGCCCCCTTACCAAAAAAGTCCTGGCTACGCTGCTGAAGGGCTAGCCGCTGTTTATGGACTAAGCCAAAGGTGAATTTTCATTAACTGCGGCCAGCCACCAACCCAGTCAATAATAACCATCACTGTATATACATGTATTCTTTTATTTTGCTGAAATACCAACTTAATAAAAACAAATAGTGTGTACATAAAACAGTATCAGTTACTCACTGAAGATCGTCCTGCAGACCCATATTCGCCTCTGAGTGTCTTTAACAAGGATGGTGGAGTGGAGTTTCTCCTCACAGCACCAAGAACTGCACCAAAGTTGCTGGATGTCAGTCGATTTTGTTTATACGCAAACCTACACATCAAGAAATAAAAATAACAATGAAATATGTCTGGTTTTTTTTACTTGCATGCCCAAAGACATCACTCTTAAAAACTGCACTTCAGATCTCTTGTGCTTGCAATCCAGATTTATAAAGTAAATAGTCATTTTACTTTACATAGGAATACAAAACTGTATTGTCCTCAGTAAAAGTAGCATTTAATTTGTTTACTAATGAAAAATCTGTTTGAAAAGTGAAACAACAACTATAAAATGCTTACCACAAAGCATTATGACGTTGACCAACAGTAGTCCTTTCAATCACCTTGACATCCTCTTCAGAAACAGCCATGTGTTCTACTACATTCTCTACTTTGTCCGGGGCATGTTCAAATTCAGGTGTGCTTGTTATAAAAGCATAGCTTTTTACTTGTTTGACCTATTGAAAAAGTTGCATAAAAGTCTGTTAGTGAAAATTTAAGTCCAGAATGCGGTGTTGATTGGGTGGAGAACCCACAAACCAACCCTGAAGAAAATATACTGACATGCGGCAAAGGTGATAGTTTGAACAATGCTGCCATTGATTTCACACAGTTAGGGAAGCATTATACCTAAATCGAACAACATTTTAAAATTGTCTTTATTTTAGTGCATGCACTCTATTTGGTCATTGTGCATGATTACAATATTTAATTTTTGTTTAAATACTCTTTTACTTTTAAAACTACCAGTGAAAATAATGAGGTTAATTATTGACCACAATCTTACCACTTCAGGTTCTTTGGAAAGGATCCACCCAATCCCAGTAAATCTTCCTAGCAAGAAAACTCTCTGTAATAGCCACTCCCTATCCTCCTCTTCCACAAGTCTTTTTATTCCAGCTGAAAAATCAAAAAATTTAAAATTACTTGTAAGAAATTTCATCCACTATCTCTACAACAGAGTTTAATGCCACATCATCAGGGGGTTGGGGAAACGGTGTGTAACGTTTTGTGTTGGCAGGCACAGGTTTGTGGTACAATCAACATTTAAAGTCGCTTTAATAAATCACAGCGCTTACAATAGGCGCATTTTAAAACCCTGATCATTGGGCACACTTAATCCTTCCTGAAACTTTCTCAACTCCCTGGGGAGCATACAACCTCAAGCTGCTACTGAGCGCTAAGGGATTAATCAAACACCATGCCATCTTGGCCCTTGCAGGTTCCCATTTATACACATGGGCGAAGATGAACAACTTAGGGTAAAGGGTCTTGCTCAAGGACACAAACTTCACAGCTGGCCTGGCCGGGATTCGAACCCACATTCTGATGACTCAGCCACCAGAACATGAGTCGGGTGTACTAGACAGCTCGGCCATGACACTCCACACACAAAGAATCCCTGTACTCCTAAATTACCTGTACTTGTACTTGGAGTCAGCTGTGAAAGTCTCTTCATTGGGGTTTCTGGGGATTTGCAGGGTTTGGGGCGGGACCACTTGCACTCAAGATCAGTTCTTGAAACATTCTTTTGAATCCATAGGAGGAGCGCTGCCATGTGGTGACATCTGTCCCGGCCCACTGGGCATTCACATGATGAAAAAGGTAAATTGGACCCAACGTATCGTATTGCCTTTTAACATTCGGACATGGTGTGGCGATAGTAGGGTCAAAGTTGAATGCAGTCCATGATAGCGTTTCAATCAACAACCCAACCATTTGCCAACAAAAACATCAGATTCCACCCTCAAAATGGCCGCAAAATTACTAGATATACCACTCTATACAAAAGTAGAGATCGATGACTAAGATGGAGGTACTAAGGTTTACTAATCTGTATGAAAAGTCAAATCTAACGTTTAATTCTGAAGTCTCCGTAGCCTTGGTAGCCAACTTTTAGAATTCTACAGAAGACACTATCATTTTTCGGATGGTGTGTGGGCTATAGGCTTTGAAAATCCAAATTGATCCACTTTCTGAAACACAAATCCACCCAATAAGTTACCCTGGTTGATCCATAGGCCTAACTCTTGAAAAGTTAGGAACAATGACATTGGGACCATCAGACAGAAGTTTTGTGGAAAATTCTGAGATTTTACTCACCACCGTGTGTTTTCAGACATCGAGTACATTGACCACAGACGTCCATTTTCAGGAAACAGTCGCCTGCATACGTGAAGCCAGGCAACATGCAAGAACGCGCGTTGTCATGACATGACATAAGATATATGGGGAGCGACATTAGGTCAAGTAGAGTACCTTGACTCGGGAACATAGAGGCCTTTATACAGTGTTATAGATACACACGCGTGCACCATTCATGACGTGAGTTATATCAAAGATAAATTACAATCTTCAAATTTGAATGATATCACAGCGACGACAACATGGGCTATTAAAGGAGACCTTGGTATTGAGGCCAAATAAAAAAAGTAACATGTTTATCGTCCCTGCCCGCTTCTTTTTTGGAGGCCGCCTCCTTTTTTTTGGCTATTTTTTTACTGAAAAAAAAGATAAATATTCAACAGTGACATCAACTTGGCCTCTTTGTCTGTTGCATCTAGCCCATATAAAGCTGGTACATGTCATTTCAAGTCCAAGTGACGGCCAATTTATAAAAAAAAAGCTGGCGGCCATCTTGAAAAATAGCCCAGTCGGGCAACCATTTTGGAGGGGATAAAAGGGCCTCCTTCTTTTTTTCAAAAAGGCAGGACGCTAAACATGTTTTTTTTTACTTGGCCTACATAGTAAATTTCACTTTTCATCCACATCATAAGTAAACCTTAGTACCCTGATCTCAGTCATCGACCTCTACTTGTATCTCAGGTGGCGTACCTGTTTTGACGGTGAAATCCGATGTTTTGGTTGGCAAAATGGTTGGATTGTATTGATTATTTTGAAACACCATGTCTGCATTCAACTTGGACCCTAGTATAGACATTGGGCTCGGGCTATTGAGATGAATTGGTGAAAATACTGTAGTTTATTCAGTGAAGGGAACCTGGGGTGGTAGTAATAGCCCCATGGATTTGTCTCAATTACTGGACTTCCTCCAGACTACAGAGGTACATGAAGCGCAATTGGGGAAATGTTGGGACTCCCACGCTTTGGAGATAATACAATTGTTTTTTTTTTATTTTCCTTTTATGTTTATACAGATTTTTGTACTTTTTCTTAGTGATCTATGGCTTTAGCCTAGATAATTTCCTAAAGGGAAATTAAGTCCAAGAACCATTTCGTTGATTATCTGTTTCCGAGAACAAAAGATTTTTTTATGCATGCATGTCAAATATTGTCAAGTCAGAGAACCAGATAGTCGACTGCCATTTATCCACTTGAGGCCTATTGGTAATATTTAAATAGCAAGATTTATATCATGTACATGTTTAGGGTAAAGTACCAGTATTTAAATTTGTCAAAACTGAATATAATGAAGCTTGGCAACAAAGACATTATTTTTTTATATTACGTGTACAAGCCACATAATCAGTGTAAAAGTACAGCGTGATAGTTTTTGTTTGAACAATTTCTGTTTTCGAATTTCCCTTGAGTTATTTTGTTTTTTCCTTTTTGGTTTCTACAGTATGGCCCGGCCAATGTGCGAGATCTTGAACCAGGCAAGAAGATGAAGTGGTGCACGTGTGGATTGAGTAAGACGCAACCGTGGTGTGATGGTGCGATTCACATTTCATTACATTAATGTTCCATTTTTTGTTTTTACTTTGCAAGTCCCACAAAAAATCACCTCTTCTGTTATTCCCAAAGAGTGAACATTCACACTATTTTGAGTGAAAAGTAGTTCCATCTGCCTGATGCAATAATGGGTAAAACCATTTAGAGTGAAACTCAGTCATTTGAAAAACAATTCAAGTTTTGTTGAATGATTGTTTTTTCAGACTTTTTCTTTGTAAAATTCAATTGATTGTCGATCTAAATCTTGTTGTCTCTATCTAATCTCACTCTTTGGGTACAAAAGAGTTTAAACTCTGCGTATCTGATGTCAGATCTGTGAGAGTCATATGTAAACACTTCGTATTTCCATTTTTAGTGTAATTACATACGTACATGTATTATGCCCTTGATTGTGTTGATTTTTTTTGATTGGTCTATTGACCTAACTAGGGTAGCCTATCATGACCCTTGATAAGAAGAAATCCATGGATACACATGTATACAGGACTTCATGTATTTTACATTTCACAATATTATGATGATTCTAACAAAATGAGGCCGTGTTCTCCATGTTATGTTGCCCAACACATGACAGTAGGGTGCAGTGTAGGGTGCACTGTTTCATGGTACAATCTTGTATTTTATGTGCAATCTTGCATGCTTACATTGTACGTCTCTCAACCCACGGACCATGGTCCATGCTTAACCCACATAACCTAACCACAAAATGGTGCATTTAAAGCTTTTATACTGGATATTTTCCGATTTTCTGAGTTAATGTATGTAATAGCGGAAAGTTACAGCATAATCTTAAAATTGGCATATCTTTGTTACTCAGAAAAATTGTTTTTCTGGGGAGATTATTCAATTGGCCCTTAATGTAAATAAAAAAGTGTGCTAGGTTGAATGTATAAACACTGCCTTACTGGGTATCGGAACAATGTTAGGTACCCCACAAGGAATGCCCACCGACTTGCCAACTTGAGGGGGTACCAGTTTTTCACGAAATAGATAAACGGATTTTACTCAAAAACTATGAATTTCCAAGATAGGTTGGTCCATCGCAGATAGAAGAGTTTAAGAAAAGGGATATTAAGTCCGAATTTCAGCCCAGGAAATTAATTCTGGTTATAATAAGAGCATTTTGAAATTAGTGTGACAATTGCAAAATTTTAGTACACGAGAACAAAGGAAGTACCCCACTTCTATGCCTGTGTAAGGGGGGGGGGGGTGTGGGGGGGGATATATCCTCCCCCCCCCCGATTCACGTCCTTGCTCACATCAAAAAATATATGAACATGTACAAGAATTGTCTAGCCCCCCCTAAAAAAATTCCATAAAAAGATTTTGCATTAGCAAAAAGAAGGATTGTGATGTACATGCAAACGGTCTCCCCTAAAGAAATAGTTGTGACAAGGGTGCATTTGTAGTTAATATAGTGTGAATGATTTTAGGATTTTATTGGCACTCCCCATTGAAAACATGGCATGAGCCCCCCCCCCCCCCCCCACCCTACCACCTATTGATTTTCGGAGGCCTAAGTGTCTGGAGAAAATAACCGGTCTACATTTCAGCACGCCTCCCTGAAAAAATTCTGCATCCACCCTGCTAGACCCCCCCCAAAAAAAATATTGGTTCTAGAACCGCGCCTGCCTCTTCTCACATCCACTAATTGTTGACTGTGTTCACGAATTGTAAACCCCTCCACCGGCCACTTCCCTCACATCCACAAAACATTGCTAAGCAACTGCAACACTAGATCTGTTGACATCTTTAATTGCGCGTTTAGTTTTGCTTATAAGACATTTTCTTGTAGATTAAATGTGATTAAAGGCTGTTATTATAGGTTTTCCCGTCCAATTTCGCACTTAGTGCATGCAAGAGTATAAATAGTTCATTCAATTTTGCTATAGGGCAACCAAAAATTCAAACTAGTCATTCAAAATCGCCATAGGGCAATCAAAAAAGAAAAACAGTCATTCAGAATCACCATACGGCAGCCAAAAATTCATAATGGGCATTCAGATTCTTCATAGAGCAATCAAAAGTGTAAAAACAACATTCAGATTCGCCATAGTGCATTCAAGTTAGCACGGAAGGACACGTGACTGAAGATAGAGCATTCAATTTCGCCATAGGGTATTCATGTTCATAACAAGTGCACTCAATTTAGCACTGTACACATGACTTGTTACAGTAATACTAATATTCAAATGTTCTTTGCGCGTTTTTCCCAACCTGCAATATGTGTGCCACCAATGCATTGCAATGACCATTCATAAAACTTCACTGGAAATTTACATTATTTTTTACAGATGCCTGGACTTCGATGGTTGTATATGTTTTGTCTCCTGGAGGTGAAATGTAAATTATAGAAGTGGCCTGCTTATTGAGCAAGTTATTTAGTTCCTCACCAGCGCCTTGCCGCAAATTGTATATACATGTATATTTCTTTCATCTCCTTTGGTAATGCATTCTTTGCATTTCACCTTTTGGTTTCCACATATAATTGTCAGCAGCTTGAGAATTAACATTGGCAGACATTACGCAATTAACATGTTACACATTCCTTTTCCTCCAAATGTACTGTGTATATTGGGTTACATTTTAGAAAGGTATACATGCTATGATTTATGTCTCTAGTCAATGCATATAATTGAACAGATGGTGCAAATGACCACAAGAAAATATACATTATGAAAGAAATTTTACAAAGATAAAAAAGGCATATGAATTAACAGGATAAAATGTAAGGAAATTGTCCCTCTGTTAATTTATATGCCTTTGGGCCATCCGATAAATATGATTTTTATTCGGCGACTTAATATAGACAAAGTGGAAGAAGATATAAACATGAGAAAGCTATAAAAAAAACAAATAGAAAAAATTACATGTGCTAAATTGGATGCACAAATTGTATAATTGGATGCCCTATGGCGAAATTGAATGCTCCAACTTAGCTCGAGGGGGTTTCAAGGGCGAACTTGGTTGCACTATGTACGAATTCGTATGC